CTGATGTTAAGGCCAGAGGAAACCCGGGCTGACAAAAAACGATAGCTGAATAATTTACGTAATATAAGATAAAGTACAGGCTGTGTACGACGTGAGGTTTGGCTTTACTGAAATGAAGATGCCCAGGGGCGAAAACTGAAGTACCGGTGGGTGATGGTGGACCCCCGCTGAGGTAATTGGCCACCCCTGATAACAGTCATGGTCATCGTCACTAACACACCGATCTGTTCTATTTAAATATTCTTCACCAGAGTTGATAACTATTTATTGTACCTTGTTTAATGTTAAATTAGATACTGATATTATACCAGAAAACTGGACTATTGGTATAATTAAACCGATGTACAAAAATAACGGGAATCCAGAAGATCCTGACAATGATAGGGCCATCACGCTCATAAGTTGTTTGGGTAAGTTATTTACATCTATCACAAACAATCGCTTGAACAACTTTGAAAAACAGAATAACTTGATATCTAGGAATCAAGCGGGGTTCCGAAAGGGACATTCGACTGCTGATAATGTTTTTATTTTACATATATTAATTTCACTCTATCTTAATTTAGGGCACGGAGCGCACTTCAAACTGATATTTTAGAAACAAATCGTCACTTTAACACACATGTCGCACATGGATCGAAAGATCTATTCTTTATGCACTAGGTGGTATCAATAACATGATTCAAAGATCATTACGAAAAGTAGTTTCCAACGTTTTGTATACCAACCCATGTTTTTAATGGAAATTAGGCCATGCGCAATGTCACATGACTTGACGAGATCTCGCGTTACCGAAGGTATTTCGAAACGTTACGACATAGGCCGGCGATATTTTAGTCACGTGGCATTATAAGACGGGGCTATCAAAAAACTAGAGTAAAACAGAGTAAGTTTGAAAAAATATGTTTTTAGTGATTGTATTGGTTGTTTAAGGCATGTTTTGCATGTCCATCTTGTGCATAAAGAATAGATCTTTCGATCCATGTGCGACATGTGTGTGAAAGTGACGATTTGTTTCTTAAATATCAGTTTGAAGTGCGCTCCGGGCGCGGGTCGCATATTTCGGACTATCTACATATATGTATGCATAGCTGTGTCTTATTACGAAATAGTTAATTTGTACAACATGTTATCATGCATATATATATATATCAGTATCTTTACATACATGCACCTGTCCATCCTGTCATTAAATAATATATGAAATCATGTTCATGTACCTCATGTTACACATTTTCATGTGTCTGAGTGTTGAAAAAATAAATTGAAAAACTGTTACATATCCAGGTAAGTGACTCGACACGTTAGCATTTGCATTGTGATTTTTCTGAAAAATAATTCTAACAAGTTACAAACATTTTGTCAACTTAAAACATAGATTATGATTTTAAAGTAAAATAAAATCGTGCTTAGAGATATAAAAGAAGTTAAAAAATATGAAAATTTTAAATAAATTCAGTGTAAAATTGTATTTGCTTTTTTGAAATGCGAAATGAATACTTAATTATCTCATACAACCTTTAGATTTCACCTACTGAAACACGAATCAGTAGCATACCGTATATCTGAAAGAAGTTGCATGAAATTACAATACAAAAGGACGGTTTTATATACTGGGCATGTTTGTGTCAATTATAAGATATTGAGGATATATTTTGTTTCCTATCAAATTATTTTTTGATGCAGAATTAAGAAAGGAAAAATGCAATTATTATGTTAGACAAGTATTTTAAAAGAAACGTTGCCGTAATTCTTCAGATACTGTCGTTGTATAGGAGGTTAAATTCTTTGGAGATAAGGAGGCGTTGACATCGATACCGCCAAACCCAACCCCCACAATCTTTTTGAATTTTTACGGTATTTGTGATCTGAAGCTTATATGAATTCAATTGAAATAAAAAAACACATATAACGCATACAGATAGAAACACCAACCATACGTTTCCGATTCATAATGAAAAGGGTATGTTAGTGTTACTAATCTTCATTATTCACTATTATATACCCGAAACTACACACACCCGTGCACAGTGGTCGTCTTTATACTTTCTTTGTTCAATATTTGAATTAAATTAAAACAATACGTAAAACAGACGTTGTACTTCAGTCTCATAATTCAATCAGAGACGTATACAAATAGACTATAAACTATACGGACCCGCGAATTAGTTACAATAATGTTAGTTTGGACTTAATCCTGATATGTCGGAATAATCATTCTCCCGGGTGTTGGTTGAGATACATCTAATTTATACGATTTCGTGGTAGAAACCAGATACGCCGGCAAAAGACGTCCTTGCGACTTGAGACGCTTACACCATTTCTCGGGTGCTGTTGTCAGGAGGGGTGGCATTTATTTCGAGAGATATTACTCTTTACACAGCGGGATAGATCCAAACAAACCAACTGTAGCCGGGTCCCTGTGACTGAACTTAACCTTCGAAATAGCAGTTGCCGCAGGTATCAGGGGTTATCCCACGTTTGATAAATAATAAACTATATGTATCTGTATCTGTTTAACCAATAATAAAGGTAAGGCCAGGTAAGAGAAAATACCACTATTGTAGAGGATAATGAAATCAGTGCAGTATCTGCGTATACACAGCCGGTGCACGTGTTACTGTGACGTTGTTTGTCTCTTCCAATGTTTTCCTGATCTTTCTAATAGCGTAGCCTTTGTCACTGTATCTGATAATAGAGGTTCGTAATTCTGGACATAAGCGTGAGATCTTCTGCAATGCTGCCGTTTGCCTAAGTGAAATAATAAACTGCGTGCGCATCCTAACCCAAAAAGACGGAGTAGACGATCGAACTAAACAGCCGGACGGAACAGTCAGACGGAGTAGCCGAACTGAACGACCCAATGCAATAATTGCACGAGAGGGACGGCCGAAATGACCGAACGGAACGATTTAGCTGATACGAACGAAACAGACGAAAATTACGAACGGTGATCGAACGGTGAACGATCGCTTTCTGGACGCTAGACTACCGCTAACCGCACGCAAGGCGCACGCAGAACGAACTGAACCTAGGTAGATACTTGAACGTAATTCTAACTGTATTGTCCGGATGTTATGACAAAGAGATACGTATATATCCAAACACACCAACAGGCATGATATGCCCAAATCGCCACAATGGTGTACATGTAACCGAATTACATACTTTAGATATGCAACTGACGTACCCTAAAGGAACCGGTGTTTTTCGTTTTGAAATACTGACCATTGCCCGGCTGAAATTTGACGTTTGCAAAATCCTTACTTTAACCTTTTGACAAATCCGACCTTTTCGCTGCGGAATCTGAATTTTGACTATAACGATGGGGCTTTTGCTGTGTAATCGTGCATCACCTATTGAACCACATCGGCATACATTTTGCATGAATATGCAACCAAAAATGTACGTATTTATATCTTGAGAAGGCTTACATAGGCATTACTAGAACTTTAACTGTGAACACTGTTTGTTTGATAATTTCCTTTGCAAACTAAATGTCTAAGAGATGTATGAAAATGTGAGGCCTTCGGCCCGTCTACTGACATTGGAGTCTTGAGTTCATTGAAAAAAAGGGTATTAATGTTCGTATCAAAATAAAGTTGGGTTGACATTTCGTAGCGATAATGACCTCACATTATGCAATGGAACATTTTCTGTTTTAATATAATAAGATAAATGTGATTTTCATAAACTTGTTCTAAGCAACTGTGCTAGTCGGTCACATTCAATATTACATGACAAATTGAAGAACCTAATATAGTTGCAGTCATGAAACCACAAAAAAAAAAAATAGCAAAATGCTATTGCAGTTAGCCAACAGATGCATAGGCTAAAAAGTCAAATGGTGGCATCAACCAGTGTCTTCGCAAGATTTTTCGACAGCATCCTTTATTTTCTAAACAAGTCAGATTAGTTCATGTATCACAATATATACAACAGTCGATTCAAACGGTTCATGGTTATTATTATAAAAGTCCACATGATAAATTGTTTACTTTAGGTTATTACACGTCCTAGTAGTCGGATATATCACACGCTACCAAGATTCCAGATTCCAACATATTATGTTAATACAGTGTTTGGTTCATATATCTTGTTTCATTGAATATGTATTTATATTTACATTCTGTATGCTTAGACCCATTGACAAAAATTACATTCATAAATGCATAACACAGGTGTTCATAGAATCTCAGCACGTGGGAACTGATAGTAACCTGATCACACTGCGTAGTAATACACTACAAAAACTACTCACTCGGAACGACCGACCTAGATGCTTACTTCTTACATCTTAAAATATTATTGAACTGTGCTTTGTGAAATATGCACGTATTCATGTGTCCTGTGCTACAAATAAACATTGGATATGGAACTAAATTTTGTTGTGTTATTGTTGTTGACGGTTGCTAAGATCTCTCACGATAGTGTCACATTTCCCCGCGAAAAAACACTGTTCTCGCCACTGCGTTGCCCCCGTGTATAAGCAGGAACAAACCCTGTTTATTTGTTTTATTCGTTGTTATATCGATCCACTGAAAGGATTCGTCAATGTAAATATAAGGAATGATATTTATTTTTTCAACATTTATGAGGACATAACAACAATGGGATTTTGGACATATTTTACATGAATCGCTAACGCGATTCATTCAATATGTCCATAAACCCAGTGTTGTTATGACCTCATAAATGTTGAAAAAATAAATATCATTCCTTAAATAACATGTTTTCTTATTATTGATAGGTGTTTCATGTCGATATTGTACATACTACCACTCTGATTTACTTAATGTAAGATAGTATCATTGTTTTTGATCGAAACATTGTGAATAATGAATACATGTATATACCGACAATTACGCACGTACTATATAATGACCCGGTACACAACGATTTATAGATGTGTCACCGATCAGGAAGTTAATAAACAATACAACATGTAATGTGTACATACGCCCTGTAAATTTATTATTATATGTCAGTGTGTACATGTTTATACACGGGTGTATGTACACGGCAGGATGTCTGACATTTACCTGCAGCAGCAAATTGTTTATGTAACTCATCGTGAACCAAGCTTCTACTTGTTCATCGTACTACTTACAATCCGATCATCGACAGGTAGGTTGTGTTGTATTCCAACTGAATACTGTATGTTTATATCGGTATATTTTGAAACGCGATTGATTACGTATCTAATGACTAAGTATGTAAAATGTACAATATGTATAGGGGAGATAGCGACATAGGAAGTATGATTATGATTTAAACCGAGGCTTACCGAGTGTTAACGTTCAAATTCTACACTCACGGGAAAAATGTATATCCCCTATACTCACCGAAGCTTTCCATACATTCAGCGTTGCCTGCAAAGGAAACAATATACATATGTAGAGATAACGTGCACAATAATTAAACACATATTTCAAACCCGATAATATGAAATATGTGAGACATAGTGATTGTATGTACAGTCGGAAATATTTAGTCCTTGCATAATTCATTAATACATTTTTTGAGGAGGGGGGGGGGGGGGGGGGGGCTAAAGTTTCATCAATCATCCCTCCCCGTGCCACTGCCAGTCTGTGGGATTTTTCTTTCAAAATATCGGGTAGACAGGAGCAAGTTTGGCCAGTTTTCATTAAAGTCGTTCTGGACAGCAATTGTTACATAAATAGTTTTACTTTAAAAATCGAAAACAAATTTGAAATCAGTTAATATGGATAAATATTTATTTTTTAAACGGGGCATGTTTGGGAAAACCTTTTTTTTCATTTTTTTTTTTTTTGTAGAATAAATTCAAGCCAGCAACAATTAATTTATGTCTAACAATATCAATCTCTTAGTATCCGAGTCCAATAGTATACGTTCATAATTGTACTATTTTCGCGGTGCCCGGATAATGTCTTAGCATTAACTACCTGAAAAATGGAATGGAGTACAAACAAATGCAAAAAAATCTTATTATTTTTTTTATTTATTTTTTATTTTTGCGTCATTGCAAAAGCTTAAAAAGAAAGACGAATGATAAAAATAGAGAAAAGTACACAAGAATCAAAGGTCTTAACCCATAGTTGATGCTTAAATGGTAACAGTAATATAGTGTATGTAAATAAGCAGTTACCATAATGATTACATTACGAAGTACATACTGAAGATATTCTGGCTTTTCTCAGCTTTAAATGACAAAGAACAATCAAAGACACGAAAGTACAGATGAATTGTTAAGTCCTGAAGAACAATCGAATATCCAATAATGAATACATTTATAAAAAAAAATTGACCTAGGCCTTAATTTGGTGTTCCTCTTGAAATTACATGTATTTATACTTGCACATGTCAGTTATAAGCCGAAATATCTTCCTATCCATGATTATGCCGCATTTCCATTGTTTTATATTCAATTAGTTTGACGCCTATAGTGGTCATATTACAAAAACATACATACTGCACATTTTCTCTAAAATAATATGAGAAAAGTGAAGAAGCAAACGGCGCAGCAAAATGCGCCTTTTAAAAAATAAATCATGTTCTTTAAAATCGAGTAACAGAAAACAATGACAATATTCTGAGATGAAAATTCAGAAAAAAATAGCTTTGTGTTTGTTAAAACATTCAGAGAGAAAAATTCTTTGTTTTTGATCTTGTGTTAAAATGACTCCAGACGAAGATATTCAAAGATATTCATTATGTGTCCATGCCTACAATGTAGTAACAAATAAAAGCATGTGCATTGAATTGTTTGAATAAGAATGAACTAAATCAAAATATTCTAAATAATGTGGTACAGCTGCAGAAAATTCGAGTTGGCTTTAGTGAATGTATTGTCAACACTATATGATGACGCGTGTTAACAGTGATGTAACAGTCGCGTCACAACATGTTGTGAACATCAATTCGGATTATTTTAACGCAAAATACGTATGACTGGTATATATGTACTGACTTATCAGTATCAAATGATGCTATTTTGAATCCAAGGGCAAGAAAACAAGCGCATGTACTACATGGAAACAATTTTCAGCTCGAGAAAAATGAAAATATCAAAATAATATGTAGAACATCGAAGAGTTTCATCAGTAACATCGACTTGTAAAAAATGTAGAATTGTTTCTGATCATAAAAATCAGCCGGCGTTACGACAAAATGCAAGGTATTCATTGAAAATATCAAATTAATTAATTGTGCAAAAAAGGAGTATCAATGCAGGCATGGAACAACGCATGCCTTTTACGAGCCTGCTCGACCAGAAGGACGAACGATTTTGAAGCCTTCAAATAGCATAAAACATGTGACTCAGGTACGTTTTCGACAATTAAAAAACGATCCGGGTACGTTTTCGAACACGAAAGTTTGACCCAGTACATTCACTTACAAGTGTAATATTTTTTATCACATAGCTCATATTATCAGAACATTCGCAATTTGCTATAGATGTATGGAAATCTAGCAAAGACAATAGTATTTGTACACGGTCGTGTTATGGTGTTTATTACATATTCGTATGACACAATAATTTGTTTTTCATTTCGATGCAACTTTTTTCCGCTCATCTCTTTAACGCATTTAAAGAACGTGCGTTTAATTTATTGACAATACATGTACACTTAATCGGTTAAATATGATCCAATAACAACTAAAAACACCGGATAATTAGATGACGCGGTAAACTACTATTTTCCTTGTACTGTGGTATACAATAACTTCACACGTTTGATGATTAACGCGTTGAAGGATGCTAGCTCGTTGGTATTTAACGTTTTAGTTTTTTCATAAGCCATGCCACAGATATGAAATTCAAATTGCCCTCAAAGTATTTTCGTCATTACATACGCAGTGTTATTTTCTTTACATTTTTTAGATGGCTTATTCCTGTTTAACTGTTTTATCTCGCCGATACTTGCTCAATACCAATCAAGAGGTCTAGGAAAAAATGTTCTTGTCAGAAAGTAATTAATAACAAATAATGTTCGTTTATGTTGTTTCTAATCTCCTCTCTAATTTTGAGTTGTTATAATTTAATATTTCAGCGTGCCAGTCGTTTTGAAGGTCATACATTTATCATGAATATTCGTGAAAGAAAACTTAAATGTCTCTCCTTTATATGTGATACTCATTTACTGAACTGCTTCTGTTAGCAAGTGTTCAATGTATTTCATATCCCGCCAATACTTTAACATGTCAGAAGTGCATAAAAGGAAAATAAACTAAAAATCCCTGTAAAGTTAGCTTTTCTGGTAAACTTCTATTTTATGGTAATATCGACCTTGATATTTGACTGATCACATATATGCATGTATTTGCAGTTATCATATGCATGTCCAGACAAACACTCGTGTGACCCTTGGCGAAATGCCACTGATGGAGTGATACAAAACTATGTTCGATAATATTTTATTTTTATTAAAAACAATAATCAACATTTGACCGTTCAGGCACGTCATTCTAACATTCGAATTCATGTACAAAACAAACATTCTTGAGAAACTTAATAAAACTTCATTAAGACATACAGATACCAGAATACAACAAAACTGTTCGGTGAAATTATTATTATCATTATTATTTTAGTAACAGTAACATTGACTGGTCACGCACACATTTGAACATGTCTGCGTTTTGTCAAAATCTGTGAAAAGGCTACAGATTGTTCACAAGATAGTATGTCCGACGGGCGGACGGACAGAAGACTGGGCAGGTTAGGTAAACTAAAGGAGTGAAATCAATATCATTGATGTATATTTGTGCATAAAGTTTGATCTTCCTTTTCATAAGATTTTAGTCACTATTCTACGGGAGTCACTTTTTCACATGACAAAAGATTAACAAATAGTTAGGTGGTATGCTTTTTACGGCTCCTCGGGTAGGATTTCTACGAAGAGAAATGACCCCCGGGTAGGTTTTCTACGAAGAGAAATGACCCCCGGGTAGGTTTTCTACGAAGATAAATGACCCCTGGGTAGTTTTTCTACGCGGAATATTTTTTTCATGTTACACATTATGATAATGAGTTTCCGTGTAGATATATTGTTTTTTAACCAGCAAACATTTGATAAGTTTTTAATTATAATTAGTGGAGAAAATGAACGGAACAATTACCATTTATAGAGTCTTATTACAGTCTTAACATAATATAATTCATATATCACCACTCATAAATAACTATTGATAATGCATTTGTGTCGAAATCAACACAGATTTCTCCAGGTCACATCAACGAATCTTAACGCCATTTTTCAGCAAGGTGTTACTTTTTCACGCCGCTTGTGTTATGGTGTTTATTACATAGTCGTAGGAAACAATGTTTTTTTTTCACATCGATGCAACTTATATTCGATCATCTCTTCAACGGATTGAAAGAACGTGCGTTTAATCATGATCCAATAATAACTAAAAACACCGGATAATTAGATGATAGATCATGTTAAATGCTGACGCGGTAAAATACTATTTACCCTGTACTGCGTTATACAATAGCTTCACACGTTAATGTGATAACGTTATTGTAGTACATAATGATTAACGCGTTGAAGGATGTCAGCTCGTTAGTTTTTTAACGTTATAGTGTTTTTATAAACCAAGATATTCAAATTGCGCTCAAAGTATTCTCGTCATTACACACGCAGTGATATTTTATTTACAGGTTTGCTTTGGATTAATCCTGTTAAACTGTTTTTATCTCGCCGTGACTTGCTCTGTACCAATCAAGAGGTCTATGATAATTTAGTTTTAACAGAAATTAATAATAACAAATAATGTCCGTTTATGTTGTTTCTAATCTCCTCTCTAATTTTGAGTTGTCATAATTCAATATTTCAGCGTGTCTGTCGTTTTGAAGGTCATAAATGTATCATGAATATTCGTTAAAGAAAACTTAGATATCTCTCCTTTATATATGATCCATGTAGCTGGTGTAATGCATCTCATTTACTGAACTGCTTCTGTCAGCAAGTATTCAATGTATTTCAACTCACGCCAATACTTTAATATGTCCGAAGTATATACAAGGAAAATATAATAATAATCCCTGTAAAGTTTAGCTTTTCTGGTAAACTGCTATTTAATGACAATATCGACATTGACTTTTGACTGATCACATATATACAATGTATATGCATTTTTAGTAAGCATATGCATGCCCAGACAAACATTCATGAGAACATTCATGTGACCTTCGGCGAACTGACACATTATTGAGAAGCTTATGCCAGAAGGACAACAGTTGAATCGGTACGGTACTCAGAGCTTTTCCGACTATCACAACTTCCGAGGTAGATGTCGATTGCTGACGGACAAACTGACCATACAGGGTTTCCAATGATGGTTAAATAGTTCTCGTTTGGATCTAATGTACTAGGCTTTAATTAAGATAAACAAAGTGATGATTAATTCTAATAATAAACATGCATCTGGAAAAAATGTGTAAAAAATAATTTAAAAAAAACTATAATTTGTGAGGCCGTTTTGGAAACTGTGAACTCATTACTCTTCATGAAACGTCGAAATTGCATCCCTTTGGCGTTTGTCCAACCACTGAAATTGTCCTTGCGTCCCATATTTAATTATAGCAAGCTTATATGCTTTTTTTCTTTACAAGTTTCTTATGTCTAGTAGTTTGAAAATAATATGTATAAAGGAAGGTAGTATTGACGCAATATTGGTATTTCCTCGAATAGTTCGCTTGGTTCCGACTGTGTTTTTATATATTCTTTGTAAATTAACATCAGATTACTCGAACTGAAATTGCTCGAATACCAGTATTTCTCGAACTCTAATGTATCCCCGACCAATCAAAACCTTATCATTTAACCTATCGATTCGCCGAACAGAATGTCTTACCTGTGTATCGCACCTACCGTGTACCATCAGCATGCTCATTGTGTTTAATAGGAGGAGTAACGGCAGTTCCATTAACAAGCTGTATTGTTACCATGTTTTAGCTGCATTATCATTTTGTGTGCATATGCATTATTCCCAGACGATGTTTGACATCGACGTTTTAGCGGAAGTGTAAATTCAATGGGTGTGTATAGCCATACTTAGGCATTGCAATACTACGAAAAGCCTTAAAAGAATGTATCTTTTGTTAATCTCTGATATTCACTTATTTTGAATGAGCTAATAATGATTCATATTGAGATAAGATGGGCGGATGGGTCGAGTGGTAAACACATAATTGTACGAGGGGGAACAACTCTTCAGGTCTCCCTCACACCAGGGCAATAACTGTTTTATTATTCCGAAATTTCATCTGTGGCGTCTCTTTTATATACATATAACAAAAATACATCAACGTTAGACAATGCAAAGATCCCCTTTGATGTCACTGACCTGTTCGCCCTTATCCTATTAGTTCTGGTAGCATATATATACTACAAATACCTATCACTGTCAGTGTTTTGATTTTTACATCAAATTGAACAACAATTATAGCCCTTTAAGTTCTTCAGCAGTTCGCAGCCATTGTTGATGGTTGGATGTCATCCTGAACACATCGGGCGTTAGAGAGTCTAACAAAGAAAGACAACTCGTCCGATAATGTGCGAGGGGTACCGAGAGGGATACTCGACAGGGAAAATGGATCGCGTGAGGGATACCCCATGTTTTTTAGCCCTGTCATGTGATGTGTCTTAACCAATCAGACACGTTGTAAAATCGATGAGGAATAATAATAACGGTTTCCCCACTAGACATCTACGTTCCAGACGAAAACAATCAAGGCAAATGTGTAGCAAGGGGAAGTAACTCTGTTTACGCAAGCATGTGTTACTATTAAAGAGCTTCGGCGCCCGAGAACTACGCCCTTATTAAGCGGAATCACATCGTGAAGTATCGATTATCTTAAAAGATATTCAATGTTGAATTCGTCATGATTGTTAATTCCGTTATCAAATAACGTTATTTTAATAGGTATTCAAGATGTTCGTCATTTTGGCATGATCGAAGAGTTTTTGGGCATTAAACATAACTGTTGAGATAATCTGGTAATGGAATAACAAAGTTGTGCTAAAAATAGCCGCGTAGAGCAATTTTGAGGTAAAAATTCTCGCTAATGAGTTACAATAACATGTTTAAGGGCAAACATACAAACTAGTGTGATGTTTATGTTGACGATAGGCAGCCAATTTCGTTCGTATAAGTCCTAGTTTGATCGCATCATGTCATGGTGGCCTTTGAAACGTGACGCGAAGCGTAACCGTATCACGCTTCGGGCTTGAATGGAGCTGCTTGTAATCCTACCGCGGGAAATATTCCGGTTAAAAGAATGCGTTTTATGTAATATTAAAGAAAAAGGACTATAAATATAAGGATTAACTTTCTATTTAGTTTAAGTTATCGGGTGATAACTACAATGGAACTAGGGTAAATTAATCATAATCCGCTTCGCACGTTATGTTATACAGTTGTGTGACCGCACAGCGCACCAGAAATAGCGTGAGCACAACGTGCATACATCGTTCACACACCGTCCGCACATCGCCCACGCATGGTGCGCACAACTGTGCAATTAAAAATCGTTCGCCCCGTTATGCGCTTTTTTCCTAACAACTTTGCGAGTTGGTACAATTTGTAGATCAATATTACAGAATGAAAAAAATACGGAAAGCTTGTATGCAATAATGCACACTGTATATTTTACTGTAATTTCTCATCACAATGATTAAGTTTCTGTATATTTTTACAATGCGTGAAAAACAGCATTTCTGTTAGACTGTCAATAATGGGTTTGCCTCTAAGGTAGCATAACAGGTAAATAACAATTTGAAGAGTGACTGGAGATTAACCATGCCTGTGCCTGACACATAGAGCAGGTATACGATACCGTATGACCGTAATTTAAACACAAATCGACGTTTGTTATTTGCATTAAGTTTGCCTATAGCTCCCCTATACCTGGGTTTTCACACACACCGGTCCTACCCGACGAGTACAAATACGGTCAAGGTACATGTACAAAGTGGCTATGTTTACACATGTACCTGTATACGGGACTGTGGTAAAATGTTACATGTGTCGAGTAAGGTCGTTTAAAAAACTCCGAAAACACAATTTCTAAATTTAGGAAAGTATAAACAGAAATATAAGTTTACAGATGTAGAAACATACGTAAAAATCAAGTTTATATGTTTAAACACAAAACCGTATATATATTGTTAAGGCATTCCTCAATTTACACCAACCACGATTGTTATCGCACAATGTTCGTCCATCGTGCGCACAAATGTATTCAAGCAATGATTGCCAACTTGTTATCGTTCGCACATCGTGCACTCATCTTGAACCGTTGTGCGATCCCATAACTGTATATTAATGAGTAGCATGGTAAATATCGCCTCAATATGAAAAATTCACTGTAAGGGGGAACATGCAACCATTGTCGATTTCTTTAATGGTGCACCCCTTGCTATTGCAACAATACGTTTATTGAAATTAAATGAAATCCGCATTATTATTCAATGATATTTTGGGGTAGTGGTCAGATTATTTTGGTAATTGCATTTAAGCATGTACATGTAGTACACCAGACTTAGGTATACACAGACCACTACATGGAGGTGTCGTACATATAAGACTACATCTTTTTATTTTACAACAATTCATCTCCTGTAACACAGATGCTGTCACATTGACGGGGTCGTCTGAGTACGCTGTCCCCGGGAGTGAGTTTACACTGACGTGTGATGTACCAGAGGAGGCAAACAGTGACCAGTTGTACCGCCGTCCTGACGTGACTGCTGTAGCTAGTATACAAATAGCTGGTAGTCAATGTTACAACACCGCTACTGTTCCTCCTGTTCTCTGTAGCCCTGATGTGTGCTCCTGTACTACCACCTCGACTAACTATGGTACAGTGTTCCAGTGGGTCATACAGCCACAGACAGGGGACCATGGATCTGTGTGGTTTTGTCGTCGTTCCAACCCAAGTCTACCTGAAGCTGACAGGATTGTAGAGAGTCCTGACTACACACTTAACGTTGCAGGTAAGTAAATTGTTGTTTTGCGTACAAAACTGTCGAGTCTCATATATTTACTTTCCTCTATTTATCTGAATTTGACTTTAGCTTTCACATAATTGTACCTTAATCTAATTGATAACGCTGCACTGGCATTCGTATTACAGAAATTAGTTTCCCATCTGATAGTTTATCATACATTTCAATTATTGCAATATTGTAAATTTTCGTTAAATTAAGTTTGTTCCTCTTACAATATACTCGGAAAATGTTGGATTTTTTATATTAAAGAGATGTTGATATTGAGGAGAGGGGGGGGGGGGNATTGGGGGGGGGGGGGGGGGGGAGAAAAAGTTTTAACACCAAATATATTTTTGCAATGAGAATTGGTGTAGCATAAAATGTGTATAATGGGATAAATATGTATTTATAACTTTTGTTGTGTTGTGTATATCAAGCGTTAAATCTGCAGAAGAAAATTTCGTAACAAAATACGGGTACTCAAATATCTGGTCTGTGTTTAAAGAATAAGCTTAAGAATTTTTACTTACAAAATTTAAAAGAATTTTATTTTTTTTTTCAAATCTGCAAACTGGCAGTATGTATATTTGTTGCGCAAATGGTCGACACCAAAACAATCACCTTAAATCACATTCAATGCGAAATTGGTATCTTTGACCGTTTATTGCACAGAAACGAACACGTTGACATGTGATTTTATTTACGTTTTCTGCTATACCATTAACTCATTCTTCCAAAAATGAATATAGGAAAACAAGTTTAATACAGAAATTTGTCGATTTCTTAGAAGAGTTTATCCTCAAGCAGATTTCTTTGCTTTTTTTATTAACAGCATGGGACTACTTACTGCTATTATGTACGATAAGCCGGACAATTTGACTTTCCGATCGTGAACTCCCCCTTTTTAGAGCATCATCTCTGCTTCCGCTTATTACGGTGGTCACATGTCGTAGTTGATTGGGTACTCAAGTATACAAAACTGCAAAGTTTCCTGACATATCTGCATCAAATAACATGTATAATATAATGAATTTGCTTATATTTTAAGGAAGTTAATGAACACTTCAAACGAGTAGATCATTTGAGAGGTCGATATATTTTTCAAGAGACTTATAGGGATGAGATTTGGATATTTTCAAAGTTATGTAGTATGCATAGAGGTTAATTAAACGTGTTTCTTTTTGTATTATGACGCTGCCCAGATTGGTACACACCAAGGAGAGAACTGTCAAATACCACTGATATTTTGTACAATTCATACGATGGTTCTTTAAGTATAGATATTTATCAGCAAGGCTTGTGTTCAGAGAATGTGTTAAAGAGTACACGGTGACTTACAAGTATGCATGTAAACTATTTTATTACAGGTATATTGTAGTGATAGATTCTGATCCATATATCTGTACATTAGATATGGTTTTATTTGAAGATTATAATTGATGAAATACTTGCACTTCAAAAGCTTATCTTGGTTGGTAGGTAAGATTAACATGATGATAATGAAATTTACTGTAAAACCTTTGCTCTGTATGCTTTTGAACTAAATCGACGGCTATAAATAGTTATGACACAGAAACACATGAAACCGTACCAACTAATAATTTATCAAGTTTGATTAATTATCAGTTGATAAAGCTGTTTTTACAAACAAATTGCTTTGCTCTTAAATATTGTGTGTAGCTCACATTACATTCATTCTCACAATACATTCATTCATTTAATGTCGTTCAAAGAATATACTTATTGTTTGTACAAGAATAAAAATGTTAGAGACTCCTATCTATATTACAGTCTTACAGACAATTATGTCTGTTAATATGTGTAATTAGAGTATCAGGTCCTTTTAATCGCGACCAGGCAATTAGTCTATGCAAAAGAACGACAGAGATAAACGAGCGTCATTTAACATCATAAGAGGCATCACGCTTGTAATAGACTGCACATTTGTTATCTGACTCTATAATAGTATAAATAGTTGTTTTGAATGTCTTCCTCCATAATTCACTAAACATAACAGTGTATTGATACAGTTGACTGGTCACGTAGTGAACTGGAGTTTGCTACCCTACGACGTTTAGCTGAGCACACGTGAAACTGATATTTGCTACGATTCAACTGTTTGAATCATAATGTGCATAATGCAATCCAACTCACCTATATATTTTAAACATCTTGATGACAATGATGAAGAATGCAGGTTATTCGTTTACCGCTGTAATCGTTATGCCCGAATGATGGAATAATTTGAAGATATGAATGACGAAGCATCAATGCAGTAAATTAAAAATAGTGACGAAGTAAACACTAAATCATAACATATAAAATAACGTTAAAATTTTTGAATGCTAATGATTTTGATGACCCCAACACAACCCGAAACGTCATGAACGTTTTGAAAAATGACGTCACAAACAATAGCATGGTCACAACAGTTCAATGCAATTGTGCATCAATTTGAATGTTGCAGACACATTTGATGAGTTAAGCTAATTTGATTTATAATTGGAATAACTCTACTTTATTTTGAGATTTGCTTATATATATCGTAATTATACTGTCGCAAAAATCCATCAACATGGGCCATAGTAGAAATGTATGCCCAGATGAAGTTTTTGTTTTTCTATTTTGTTCATACTGTTACTCTCCCTCTTTCTCCATGTTAAATCCTGAAAATAACTGTAAATCTAAATGTAAAATAACGTTTAGACGCAATATGTTAATACTTTGTAGACAGTCCTGGTACTGTAACCCTGTCCCCACCGGGCACTACCTACACCAGGACTGAGGGGGACACGTTACCGGACATCACCTGTACAGCTGACTGTAGACCTGGCTGTACCTTTGTCTGGACAAAACCTGACAACACCAACTTTACTGCCTCAGCTGTGTTGTCACTGGGACAACTGGACAGATCAGAACACGGGACGTACAGATGCACGGCTAGGAATGTTGTAGGGGAGTCAACTACAACTACAAGTGTCACTGTGCAGTGTAAGTGCTCTAGAATTTCTTCTGCTTGTTGTGTTTTAGGCAGAATGTATCTTCCACTCGGTTTACCATCTACTTTAGCATTTTGAGCTGACTATTTGAAATTTAAAAAGGCCAAGAAAAATCAACTGGTTAATAACCTTTGAATCAAATAATTGAGAAAAATAACTTGTTGAGATTTGTATGTTCTTGATTAAGATTACTAATACTTTTTTCTGTACCAACGTTGTATCAGCTAAACATGTTTTTATTTTATTTTCATTATAAAAGTGTTGTATAATGTGCTATTCCTTGGATGAATCAGTATGAAATTTGTACAGTCGAATTAATTTAAGTTACAGAGGTTCAACTATTTTTAATATCCAAGTAGTTTCGTCCAATAAGCCATGTTGCAATGTGATGGTAATTGGTTAAACCAAAGTAAGAATAATTTGCCCCTGTCCTTTTGTCTGACGATTTCGTGTCAAAAGGTATCATATAGGAATACATTTTTTCTTTACACCTGTATACTATTTTAAAATGTTGAAATGACTGATTAAGAATTAAGGGATTATGTTTGAGCAATCTTGTATTTGCCAGTTAATCATTTTAACCTTTGATGACTCGTATATATCAAATAAGAAATCCAAGAGAGATCTCCACGCTCATCATCGAACCGTCTTAATAGTTATGTTTTAGTTTGATCTATTCATTATTGCTAGCATACAACTTCGTGTGTAAAAAGAGGAACCTAAAGTTGATATCTGTCTAATACCTCTAGTATAATAGTAATAACAGATTTGAACTGTCGAGAACCAAAATGGCTGCTAAACGACCATATTGTTTTTCTGATCAGTTCCAAAAAAGTTTTCCCATGGATAGAGTTCAGGGGACATTAAGAAAAAAACACCTCAGGTACTTCCTTCTTCTAGCTCTTGATTTTAAACTCAAATGAATATGTGGTTGGAAACAGTACGTTCATCGTACACCTTAGTACATTGTTGGTCAATTCGTTAGTAATGATCGTGTCAACTGGCTGATGTAAACGAGTTTAGTTCGTGTTGTTTTATGTAGTGGAACAGTTTCGTGTTGTTTCAGATAAAAATTCATCGATACATATGAAAGTGAGATAACAGGGCTCGACAGGCGGTTGTTACCAGTTACGATATGTGTTAGCTTTTCAGCTAGTTAAGTATCGTCTGAAAACACATCGTAATACTTGTTATTGTAGTTAACTCCCCGACAACATTTCTAGCCGTACATCTGTATGTCCCGTGTTCTGATACTAGTTAAGTATCGTATGAAAAATTTATTGTTTATTTTTCACATAACTTTGTTGATTATTTGAAAATGTGAAAGTGCTAATGTATGCTATTCAGAAAATATGTGCTTATCTTACGTCTAAAATTCAGAGTATATAGCTATTCATGTTTATTGTAGATGGTCCTGGTACTGTTACTCTATCCCCGCCAGACACTACCTACACCAGGACTGATGGGGACACGTTACCGGACATCACCTGTACAGCTGACTGTAGACCTGGCTGTACCTTTGTCTGGACAAAACCTGACAACACCAGCTTTACCGCCTCAGCTGTGTTGTCACTGGGACAACTCGTCAGATCAGAACACGGGACATACAGATGTACGGCTAGAAATGTTGTCGGGGAGTTAACTACAATAACAAGTATTACCATATTATGTAAGTATATGGTTTGCAAAATACTACTATTTCTGCATATTTTAAAAGTTTCTTTATTGACAGGCTCCTCTCACCATATTGATTTGTATCAATTCAAAGGATCTTGCTCAATTTCGTATAAGAATGTACTGACGGGCAAATATTCTACAGAAAAAAATGAATTTTATGTGATTACTTCCGGGAGGTTTCCTTTATTATTACAGAATAACTGTGTTACATAGTACCACCTCACTTAATGGTTGACTGTACACGTCTGACTTGCTTCTGATTGATCTATTTCCTGCTTTTAACATGCTCAGATTCGGTTGATGTTGCATTTTCTTTAGTATTTTTAAACCGATACAATGATAATGCTCTAATTAGGGGATAGTACATTGTTTTTAGTGGCTGTACTGGCGATTAGAACATGACATTTGGTTTGAACTTGCAATCGATAGGTCGATAGTTTAAACCAAATCTCATGTTCTAATCGCCATTATAGACACGAAAAACAACGTACTATCCCCATTCTAACACACTACGCTAAATATTTACCTTGATCGATCACCTTGTTAAGTTAAAAATACAGGTTGTCCTGGAGGTAAACGGAATAACTTTTTTATTTTATTTCCATTCTCGGAAAGTTACCCGGGTCTTCTTTTCAGAGAAGAAAATGTTTCAAGGTCAATTTCTCATAGTGGAATACATACGCGGGTCATTTCCCATTGTATAAACAATACCCGGCTCATATTTCAATGGCAGATTATGTACCCGGGTGGTCTTTTTTAATTCTTGCTGGTTAACGTTACAGAGTCGTTTTCCATTGTTAAAATATACCTGTTTCATTTTTCAATTGTAGACAATGTAACCGGGTGTTTTTTTTCCCAGGATGTACCCGGGTCACATTAAAGTAGCCGAACATATACCCTGATCATTTGTTGTTCATTGTGGAAATAGCACCAGGATCGTTTCTAATTTGTAGAAACGTTCTGGGTCATTTTCCTCTGCGAAAAATGTGCACGGGCCATTTCTTAATGGTAGAAAACATACACATCTTGGTTAAATATGTGCCTGGGTAATTTTGTATCATGATGGAAGTACCAATTCGATTTAATAATTAGCCTCATGATGTATGTTTTCATTAAATGCAAAGAATTTGCTTGCTATTAAGATGATGCTTGTGTACAGAAGGTGTGTACTATATACAGTCACTTAAACTGTTAAAAATGTTTAACACGCAAAGGGGCATCTATACTCTTAATTATGTGTACATCAATATATCGATAGTTAAAAAAACTAAACTGTAAGCCACACAACAAATACCCCCAACCCTTCTTATAAACCTATCATGTCAATTTTCATTTCATGATAATTCATACATTGCATATATTGGGCCACTGCCATGTTCTTATGCAATACCAGAGCTTGGCTATAGATGACGTACGATGTCGAGCGACTGTCAACTTTCAAACGTAAAAATAACTCAGGAATTAGAAATTAAAAACTGACTGCTTTATGGATCATACATTTTAAAATTTTAAAAACAGAAAAAACACCTGCTCCGCTCGGCGTTGAGGAATAACGTTCAAGTTGTTAAATATTACACAATATTTGTTTTCATGATATGACCATTACTTGTATCATGGTTTTAGATAATCTTAAATTAAAACACACAGAGCTTCTGCATTTCTATCTGTGTTTACAACTAGATTTCATTGGGTTAAAATTATTAATGCTTCGTATTCGTTATAAGGACTATATTCCAATTAAACTAATATTTTCATAACAATCTTAAATTCAAACACACAGAACTTCTACAGTTTGTGTCTTGAATACAGCTAGAAATCATTGGGTTACAAAAGTAAAGGGTTTGTGTAACCAACATTTGGAAACCCCCCGCCCCTTTCCTCACTCCGACCCTCCATCACCCACTTTTAAATTCCATGATCCGCCTCCGCCCCTACTATATCGTGGGAAGTGTACGATTAACCTCTTCGAACAATTTAGATAGTTATAAATGCTTTTTAATTTTGCTTTCGGTAATATCGACTCAAGTTCTAGGGGAAAGACCTGTGTTTTTTTCTTATATACCATGGATCTAATTCGACCAGATTATAGGTATAATTCCAAATTGATATCTTGTTACAACAGACAGAATTCTGAAGAATTCTGACTCGGATTTCGGGTAATTTGTTAACGGATTGTGGTCGATGCCAGGTGAAGATTTCAGCTTTGGACCCCGGGTAAGTTTTTGTCGCGGGTCAATATTTCATGTTACACCGGATGCTAGCCGAGGGTTATGTGAAAACAAAGGTATTAATACGGACCGAAAAAAACAACAATTCAAGGGCATCAACAAGTTAGTTTTCAGGTCAATTTAAAATCATAAATAAACCTCTGACCGCGTTTCATGATTTCAACTTTGTTTCATAATCAATCCGGCAATTTTTAACAAAATCCGATGCAATGTAATGTCCATTCCACGTAAACAGATCTGACTAATGGACTTTAATGTTTATGTATTTCAACGTATTTGTACTTCTGATGTATGCATACTCGTGATTTCAGATGAGAAAACCACTATCCTCAATGGTCAATGTTGCATTCACATATCAATTATAAGAATAGTAGTTATATCTACCTATTGGTGCAGGCTGTGAATCCATAGATCGAAAAAACCGAAGCTTTTAATTGTTATGTTATGTTTATTTCTTTGTCGATGATTACAGATGGTCCTTCAACTGTGCGTTTGACCCCGTCCACTACATCCTACACTCCTATAGAGGGACATGCCATCCCTACCGTCACGTGTTCGTCTGACTGTAACCCAGTTTGTACCTACAGCTGGGCAAAGGATGGACAGTCCCACAAAACAGGGTCAGATCTCCAGCTCACCAACATACAACGTGGTCAGACGGGCGTGTATATGTGTACCGCCAGTAATGGATACGGAAGTCGGACATCTAGTGACGTCAGTGTTACTGTAAACTGTACGTATTAAGAAAAGGTGGCATGACTGTCCCGTTTTTTTTATTATTTCCTCAGAAGAGAAGGAAAAGATAATGCCAGGGTTGAGGGGCCCTGTATTCAGCCCCCTTACAGTGATATCTCGACATGGGAGGGCTTACAGGCTTTCACACATTTTTCACTAATATTAAGTTAATATAGAAGAATATAGAAGGATGGTGATAGGTATTCCATGCTATCTTCTGGCACCCTGTATGTGTCTTCCTGCCTGGAATGTTCTGCAACGTTTTGAACTTGGCTGATGCAATTGGACACAGGAATACAAGTACATGTATACGTGAAGATTGAAATAGCAAATAGTCTTTTAAAGGGTTAAGTTGATTAAATATTGTATTGGATTTATTTGTTTCACATTTTTCTGTATATTTCAATTTTGATGACTTTTCTGTTTTGTTTGCCAAATGTAAGTTTACTGATTGTATATAAAATGCAAAACAAATATATTGGAATATGTGACAATAGAATAATACAAACTATTTTAATCACGAGAAGACCGGTTCTTCATGCAAACTGTTGATGTATCTTCCGAATGCTTCTATACGGTGGTAGCGCCGCCGATGATATGCATTCGGAGGGACAACGTATTATACACATGAATATAGCCAAGGGCTGTCCTATATTATTTGCTGTATCTTGTCGTTTTTCGGTAGTTTTGCCATTTACTTGTTTTAAATTGTGTGATGGTTCTATTACGGGGATAAGGATAGTTTTTGTCGCTACATGTATGGATGTAAATACCTGCTCTGGGAAGACTTCCGATTAATTGTAGTTGGTGACGTGCAACATATAAGGTATAGACATTCTGTAGTTGGTATTTGTTCTTGTTTCTTTGCATACAAAAAATCGGATGGTTGTTTACTATAAAGTGCAATAGGTACAAAAAGTGAAGTGTACAATATGTGTATTATCTAGATGGACCAGGTGACAGTATATCATTCCAGCCAAGACAAGATGTGTTACATTCTGTAGTTGGTATTTGTTCTTGTTTCTTTGCATACAAAAAATCGGATGGTTGTTTACTATAACGTGCAATAGGTACAAAAAGTTAAGTGTACAATATGTGTATTATCTAGATGGACCAGGTGACAGTATATCATTCCAGCCAAGACAAGATGTGTTAGATAGAGTTGAGAACCAGACTGTGCCAGATATCGTCTGTTCTGCTGACTGTGAACCACCATGTACCTACATCTGGTCGAAAGCAGGCACAACCTATATAAACCCACTATCTGTGTCAACAGCCATAAGGGGGAATGCAGGACAATACACATGTACAGCTACTAACAGTGTCAGTCAGGGAACAAATACATGGAACCTGATCGTCAGGTGTAAGTATTGTACTAACGTTGGGTGGGCGTTTACACCATTCTGCTGCAATTTCATGGCTAAACAAACATATATAATCTGATGCATTTGTCATTTATATAATGATATAACTTACCGCAATACACTTTTTGCTTTTTCAGTTTTGCTTCCTGTACTGTCGTCCGCCGTAACACAACTAGACACTGTTTGATCATGCCCAACTCTCCTTCACGAGTCTCTCACAGCAAAAATAGCGCGTTTCTTAAACACTAACGTTAAATTTATTTGCATAACTGGTAAAAATAGTATGTAACATTAGGGGCAGTTGTTAAGAGAAACTAAAAGAAATTAAGGACCATTACAGTTACAAAAAAGTGCCATGCCCATTAAAAACTCCCTCTTTATTCAATAAAAGTCTTTTAGAAATTAGGTATAATTATTGACGGTATCAAACTGATGAATCGCGAATTTCTCCTGTGGTATGAACTCCGACTGACTCCTACATATCATAATATTAAATATCAATTAGGTCATGACATATGAATCAACGGAGAACTTGATAAAAACGAAACAAAAACCAAAAAACATTGTTTGCCTACAGTTGTTATAGCTGATAGGAGTCAAAAATATTCCTACTCTATTGTTTTGTCGCAAATATTTGCTTTCCGTCTGTGATTCTCAGGAACTACTGTCAGTGTACGTATAACGAAATGAGTTTAACTACATGCGTAGTATATATATATACAGAACATAGATCTAACTACCGACTAAAAAACAATCTGATTTTAGTTTTTAAATTCCATGTTAAGTGTGAAAGCAGCTTGTTTTTAGTCGGTCGTTAAATCTAATTTTGACTATACTTACCTACATCACATGGACAGTTAATCGTAATTATATATATATTGAGGTAAACCTGAAGAGCCATGTGAAGGGTGAAATCAGTCTGTTTTTAGTCGGTCGTTAAATCTTATTTATACTATACTAACCTACATCACATGGACAGTTAATCGTAATTATATATATATATTGAGGTAAACCTGAAGAGCCATGTGAAGGGTGAAAGCAGCTTGTTTTTAGTCGGTCGTTAAATCTTATTTATACTATACTTACCTACATCACATGGACAGTTAATCCTTTATTATATATATATTGAAGTAAACCTGAAGAGCCATGTGATGGATGAAAACAGCTAGGTTTTTTAGTCGGTCGTTAAATCTTATTTGTTTTTTTATATTTTACATAAAGTGATGTAAAATATATCTAAAACATTTTATTTCAGTTCCTCCTCAAATAGTTAACCTCAGCTACACACAGGGAGACGCTGATGTAACTGAGAACGGATCTAAGTCACTGGTATGCTATGTAGAAAGTTACCCTCCGTCTACAATCCAGTGGTATTTTAAAGCTAACAACACAGTTCTACTGACCACTCCGGACGTACTGGATAGCACCTACACCCTGGCTGCCGCTGTCTGTCTAGACACAGGAGTCTATACCTGTTCTGCTCGGAATAGTGTCTCCAACATGGAGGCTACCAGGGATATTAACATCAACGTTTTGTGTAAGTGTTCTTTTGATATGCAACTACAGAGGTTCCCTCTTATCATATTTGTTTTCAATGTTTTTTTGTCGAAATTAAATTAATCGTCATCGCGTAGGTAAAACGACACAGACTGAATACTAATATTCGTTTCCCTATGTTTCCATAACATATCCTATATTCCTAAAATTATGTGCGGAATAATCATAACATATGCAGTAACACTGACTATTTAATCTTCTAAGCTTTTCACTCGCATATAGTGTTTCAATCGGTCAGTGGCCATTTTGAATTAACGGTTAACGACATTGCAACACCCAAGGTCTTGTGAAGTCGGTTTCTAGGGAGACACCGCCGAATAGATAAAAACAGGTAGGACAATAAAAGACATCAGGCATAACAATAAGTGAGATACAGCGGGCATTACAGTAAGTGAGATACAACGGGCACAACAGTCAGTGAGATACAGTGGGCATTGTAGTCAGTGAGATACAACGGGTTAGTAATATACATCATTAATTACAGTCAACGATATACGACGGTTATTGTAGTCATTGAGATACAGCAAGTATTAAAGTCAGTGGAATACAACGGGCATTACAGTCACTGAGATGCGGTGGGCATTGCAATCACTACGATACAGCGGGCATTAGTCAGTGAGATACAGCGGGCATAACAGTCTTTGATATATAGCAGGCATTGCAGTCGGTGAGATACAGCGGGCATTACCGTCGATGACATGCAGCCGGCAATACATTCACTGACACACAGTGAGTATTATAGTCAATGAGAAACAGCGGGTATTACAGTCACTGAGATACAGCAGGCATTACAATCACTAAGCTACAGTGGGCATTGCAATCACTAAGATACAGCAGGCATTGCAATCACTAATATACAGTGGGCATTAGACTCAGTGAGATACAGCGGACATTACAGTTACTGAGATACAGCAGGTTTTAAAATCACCAAGATACAGCGGTCATTGCAATCACTAAGATATAGCGGGCATTAGACTCAGTGAGATACAGCAGGCATTATAATCAGTGAGATACAGCGGGCTTATTCTTTCGAAGCAGAATACAAGAAAGCACAGGCTAACGTTAACAGGTTCATAGAGCTGCAGTTTAAAATGTTTTTATTATAATTGCTGTTGTAGCGTAACAATGATATTAACGAGGGACATGATAAACAATATGCAATTAAAACGCATTACATTATAAATGCAAACAAAACCTTACAATACTATGTTAAATAATGCATATTCGTTTTTCACATATGGTAAATCCATAAATTGTTTAAGCTATCGGTCAATTGAAAACAACATCTTTTATTTTGATCTTTTAATAGCAAGAATATATGTCTGTGGCTGTACTGTTGCAGTCTGTTTGGATTCCCGTCACTAGTAAAATTAAGTTAGCAACAACGTAATCATACATATTTAAGTAACTAATATATTAATAACCCAAAAATATTCGATATACTTTTTAAGCATTTCTTTTTTAGGTAAACCGCATCCATATGAAGTAACTGACTACAACCAAGCGATTAGCATATCTACATCGGCCAAACTTATTCTCCCTGCTGTGTTCATCTCTAACCCGAAACCATCGTTCACATGGACCTTCCAAAATTCCAAACTTACACCTGCCACAGAGCTTTTAAACGGTATCGACAACTTTTATGTACAAAACAAGTTCGTGATGATGAATTTATCTGCAGTGTCAGAAGGAACACGAACAGATATACAAGAAATATGGTTTGGATTGTATAATGCCACGGCAACAAACAGCCAGGGAAGCACAATGATCAGCTTTATGGTCCAAGAGAAACGTGAGCTTTTAACACTTCCTTTATGGTCTTTAAGTAATATCGCATGTTTGAAAGTTTTGTTTAAATGTTAAACACGAATGTTACATATACGTTTTTCTGGTCTAATTTATATCCAAAAGATATTATACAATTTGTTGATTAATTACAATTTTTTCTCGAAACATCAACACGGTCAGATATTGATCAATCTTTAATTGTAAAATATCCCTTCAAAATATTCTGATACAAGAAACCACGTTTTAGACAATTTCGGTCTGTAATTTTTTTTCCAATGTTTTATCTAAGCGACCTATTATGGAAGAAAAAAAAATGTCGAAAAAAAAAATCCGTTTTTTTATGTAAAAAAGTGATAAAGTCTGAATATGAAATCGAACTGTCGAGTTATTATCTAAAAATCTCAAATTACATGTAGTAACAGCTTTTGAGGTATGATTTTTATACAAAACTAACTAAATGTTCGTTGTCTCGTTACAACCTTCACATAGTTACGTTAGTGTAAACTTGCCAACTGTACCAGAACCATACAAATCATACAATTGACGTATCGCGGTCAGAAATGCTTTGCATTGAATTTCTGATGGCACTTTTGAAATGGGTTGCCATTGCCATTTTATATCTCCAGCTCAAACAATGAGTCATAAATAGACGGATATAGAGATTGTCTTTTGTCCGCTGTCGTACGCCCGGTACTTAAAACATATATGTATTGAAATCATCAGAAAATGTATTCTTCACATCGGAGTATTGCTCGAATCCTGAATCAGTACACCATCTCAAATTTGGTTTTAAAGACATATTTTCTGACCATTTCGACAAATTTGTGTTTTATTGGAGACAGATAATCAGGATTGCAGACCTGCGTTCTCGAAATGTTGTTGATCAATAACTTAACGTGTTTTTATACCATGGACTACCCCTCCGGAAACAAACAATCATTGGGGCATCTTCTCGTTTTCAATCGACGTTTCAATGTAAGAATGATGATATCGTTGTTCGTTGTCAGTTCTTACGCACACCAGTCCGAATTGTTTCTATAATAGATTGATACATTAATCATCCCATCGTGTTTTAACCGTTTCAGTTATGGTAAGCAACTGATTTTGCCTAAGTACGCAAGACGCGCGTCTCAATCCCAACGACGCGTCGTCACGAAAGTCGAAACACTCCTGTGCCGATTTAATATTCGTTTATTAACGAATTGAGAGACTGTACAAGTGAACGAATATACTGTGGAAATAAACACACAAATAGTCCTACGAAAAGTGTCTGTATCCCACATAGGCATGTGCAACCGCTCCAAAACGTCGATAAATTAGGAATTCCAGTTGCCTGAATTATTCGAATGAAATGTGCATTTCACCATTCATTTCTGAAGGATGCGATTTTATGTGATCAAAAACCGGTGTTATCAGTCGGAGTTAATGAATGTTTATTCTGCTTTGGACTGTGTATGGACTTTCTAAATATCACATGAATGTTTATTTTTTTTACTCGATTTTGTAATTAATTTCCTTTAAAAGTAAACTAGCGGCAAAAATAAACTGTGCATGCCTAACATGTGTTATAAAAGTAAATGTGTATGACGTAGAACAACAACGTTTTCAGGGAAAATTTATTTGTTATTTATTAACAGTTGCATTCCATTTTCATCGTTATGGAATCAATAAGATCCGCTCAGGAGTGACGTAAACACTACAGGGGTCAATACTGAGTTCACAAAGTTAATACCTCTTATGTCCACCGTTTGCCTGAATGCAAGCCTGGCAACGTCGTCGCATGGATCCTATCAGACGGTTCAAGAATCTGTACCAACGCTGCAGCCAAATCAGTCAACGTCACCAGTTGATTAGGTAATGCCAGTAATCTGCGCTTCATTTCAACCAAGACGTGTTCAATGGGCGACAGATCGTAGAATACAGCAGGCCAGGGCAACACGTCAACGTTCTGCTGGGCCAGAAAGTCAATAGCGACACGAGCTGTGTGTGGCCTGGCGTAATGTGACGTTGCTGCCCTTGCACTAATGGAGTGACGTGGGTCTGGAGGATCTCGTGACGGTAACGTAGCTCAGAGGCGTTCTCCCGTTGGCTGTAATGCCGCCCCAAATCATAACGCTGCCTCCGCCGAAAGACAGTCATTGTACCACACACGCGTCACGGAAACGTTCTCCAACGCAACGATACACTCTGGAACGTTCGTCACTGCTATCCAGGTGGACTCGCGACTCGTCCGTAAACAAAATGCCTGCCCAATCCCGTCGAGTAAATCACAGACGCCTTCTGCACCAGTCCAGACGTGCTACACGATGACGTGGCAGAAGAACTGGGCGGATTGCAGGACGTCGCGGACGGATAGCTCGTTCACGCAATCGGTTCCGTATAGGCCTCGGGCTTTTTGGTAGCAACCCAGGGATTGTCCGTGCAGTCAAACTTGCCGTTTGGAAGCGATTTCTCAAATGGACGAGCCGAATGTGGTTGTCCTGTTGACGTGATGTCACACGGGGACGTCTCGCACGAGGTCGATCGCAGACGTGGCCAAACTGTTGATGTTGTCGCCACAAATCCTGGATTGTGTTTCGATGGACATGTACACGTGTAGAGACAACGACTTGGCCCATACCAGCTTGAAGAATACCAATAATCCGGAGGCGGCCATTTTCATTGCATTTCCTCAGCATAGCATTAATCACAAATAAAAACGTGATAATGCTGTTTTTACTGTTCACTGGTCTCAACAGTGACCCGACAGTTGAAAAATAAACTTTCATTGTCGAATTTGATGACTTGACGAGAAAAACGTGCAAATTGGTCAACGCCTATAGAGAGCAAACTGCACGGGAAACACTGTCAATGACACACGGATAGTGTGTATGTGTCATACTCGGTCATGTGTGTGAATTTCAATGTATATACAGTTGGTAATACATGTTCTATAACAGTTCCCCGCATGCGCAGTTTCTTTTTGCCGCTAGTATACATACTAAAAACAATTCGCAGTATTTAATTCATATTTAATTATCATAATCAATCGAATACTAGCAATAATTGGGATAATCATTTATTATCACATATCAACTATATAATGTAAACATTTGAAACTCTATATTAGCCCGACATAATGTTTACTAAGACGTAAATACACATGATTTCTTTGCGATTATTTGACCATAGAATGTTTTAAAATGTTTAAATGAAAACAAATCGTAAATTCATGAATATAGATATTCAAATTCCTCCTCCCCTATATGTCCAATATATGGTTATAATTTGTGTCTGCGTTATCAAGAAGTAATTATATATTTAGTGTTACGTTTGTTTTGTCTTTTTCCTAATCTACCAAAATCCATTTAAGAGGTGGTTGAGCAAGTGTCAGTCAGTATTTAGTTTGTAGGATATAGACGCTACACACTCGGGTGTAATGACCATAACTATTTAATAGGACGTTAGACGCAAACAAACCAAACCAAACCAAACCCTCAAATGTAGAATGTGGTGTCAGAACATCAGTAAAACCTCGGTTCTGACCCGAAATATGCAGCTTCGCATGAAATATCCATATCCCAAATACTGACATGTTTGACTCTATTGAGAAACAATAAACACATTAATAGCATCCCTTTATCATCGTATATCTCCTTGTTATTTTCACTGACATGAATAAATATGATAATTCGTGATTCATGACAATAATTGAAACATACCGTTCATGTTGATTTCCAGAGAGTCCTAGTTTCCCAAAAAGACTAACCGTTGGCTGTGCAAAGCCTTATGCTGCCAAAGTATCGTGGAAGGATGGCGGCCACGCGCAATATTACCAAGTCTTTTTTAGCACTGATGAATTTCTACAATCAAATCAACCATATCCTGTGACTGTTACTGAAAAGGAAGCCGGACGTGTTATGTATAGTCTAGATATAAACAATCTTGAGGGAGGACAACTGTATTACTTTAAGGTTGCAGCATTCAATGAATACGGAAATACAACATCGCTTGATGCTGTTGGATGTACAGTTCAGCAGGGTAAAATGTTTTCACTCCATATTCACATATAGAAATGTTATTCTAATTCTGCTGAAATGGTTTATTAAGTCAGAAGTTCCATTTCGTGTTTATCAACCCACTTGATAAGTTATTGCGTTTAGTTTTTTACAATTGTGTTAACTTGGTTGATGGCGATACGCTACGTCATAAATATGGCTTTTAAATATTATTTGCGTTGTCCACATGAAGAAAATATTGTATCATTTATATTTAATTGCCGATTTTGTTTTCTAACGTAGCACTTTCCTGCGGTAGTGACAGCATGTATATAACAGGACTTGTGTTGATTTGTGTTGCCGTAGTAACGCTCCTATGTACAGTTGGACTCGGAATATTTATCAAACGTAAGTCCCCCCCCCACACACACACACACACACAAACACACAGTGAAGTATTACGACGAAACTAGTTATACAAAGCTAAGATTTTTTTTCTTCAAACAACTGTTCGTTTTGTTTCATCGCAAAACCAGCATGCATTGCTTTAAACACAATATCATATTAATAGATATATTGTACTATTACCAGATGTTTGAAGTTGGCGGGATCAACTATTTTTCCTTTATTGCTTTTACTTTATCTTCGTATATTTCTTTTTATTAATATTTAGGAAACGGTGGACTGCCTTTTCTGTAAGTAAATACAGATGTTTTACAAATATATGGACGATCATGCACATGCCGTCTCTTTGGTTCATGAAGTTAGTAAGCCTTTGATTATTCAAATTACTGAAAATAGCTCTATTTTGAAATACGTTTAAAGATAACACGCAAACTATTTTGATGTGTAAACTTATATAAAATCAGCCGAATGTATAAAATACAGTTTTCTGCTTGATAAAGTTCGCAAAAAATATTTGAGAACGACATCTACTTGATAAGGGTAAGAAAAGTATTCTCCTTCCAAACAAAATCATGGATTGTACTATAAAATTTTCAGGAAATGCCGGCACCCGCATCCGGGAGAAATCCAGAGCGTTCAACTTTCAGAACGTCGTAACGTCAATGAAGCACGTGAGATACATTTATAATCTCAAAGTTCTACGCGTTATTCTTGTTATTAAGGAAAATTTACTTTGGATTGAAATACATTTTCCTGAATTTTGTCGATTTGGGTGAAATATTCCATTGTTGGTTTCAACTGCAATAGCAAACCCAAGTCAGAGTTGCTTTGTATATTATTTTTCCATCTTGTTGAATTACTCATAATGATAATAACCAGTGATTCGCTTTTTGCGTGTAATTGAAAAAATAACAGGACTAGTTTTATACATTTATCGTCATTCATCTTTTTTTTTCTCTATCGGAACTGTCTTCGAAATTAACCTGATGGTTTTCCGTTTTTTTTATCCAATTTCTGGTATATAAGTGATTTGTAAGTGTCATTATTGGTGTCACAGAAAAAATATATTTTGAGATGAACTTATTTTTAAAAGGAATCTTGATAATTTTCCCTATTATTTACAATGAGAATTAGCAAACAGTTTTACATCATTATATTTTTCATCATTATATTTTTTTATAATATTGATATACGATACATCTGTAGCTAAATCTACACAAATTTGGGATTAATGTTTTACTTTAAAAAAAACAAAAAAAACAATACGATCCAAATAGCGATAAAAAACACGTTAATTTGTATTCAGGCCAATATTTGTTGTTAACAAAAAGAAAAAGACTGTCTAGTTTTCTTTCCAAGTAATAATTTGTATTTAACTTCGTATACATTTTAACAACAGACATACGCTCTATAGAGTTTCTGTTACGATGCCGCTAGGGGACCAAAGTTTTGTTCGTGGTGGAAGAAAACCCATGGAGGAAATACACCCTGCCATTAAAGTAATCACCTGCAATAGCAGGGTTGTGTTTCGTGTTTTCCAATCCATGCCGTTTCAACTATTGCTTGACACATACATTTGAACACCTTTGGCGATTTCTTCTTAAAATCCGCATCTTTAGTTAAATCAACAATCTCGGCTTTCATCCAAACATCTTGTAATATCATGTCTGCAATATCAAGGTAAGCTGACTGTAAGGTGGCACTTTATTTATCTATGTTTGAATTTGTTTGTCCATTTTTGTTTCGCGTTCATTATCAGTTTTTGCTCCGAAATAATGTTTTTTCTTTGTTTTTTAGAAAGAATGTAGAGTGAAAGATGAGATTGACATTTGCATTTACAATCTAATTTACAGATACGAAAACCGACAGAGAAGAAGAAGGGTAAGATTGCTTGAACATACATTACATACTTGTTTTCAACGTTTTGTCTCATACTTAGTGAATTGCTGTCTTTATTAAACAAAAAGCAATGCGTCATCGAATAACCAAAGCTTGCATCATTTAATTTATGAATTTGTATTCTATGTAGATTGCAATATGAACAACTTGATACAAATGCAATCGCGAAGCCGTCTGTATACTCTGAAACCGGAAGTCATCATCACGGTAAGACAAATGAAACTAAAGTTTGCTAATGCTCATGACAAACATCAATATCAGGGGCCAAAATAATTGAATGATTTTATTTAGACTGGAACACATAGAAATATACTTGGGAACCCAAATCATGTAGAATTACTGTGCTACTTTGTTGGTTTGAAATATATATAGGGAATATTTCATGTAAATAGCATGCAAGTATTTCAATACACACATACTATCTGTATTTTACGGGTTATATATTGTGGTTATTGAAGTCGCCAATTCAAGTACTGCCGGTAATGTGATTTGCCTTCGTCAAATATCTTAGCCGCTTGATGTTATAATTATAAGCCGCTAGCTTTGTTCTAGAGTGTCTTATCAACAAATAGGCAATCTTGCAGTTACTTTTAGAATCAATAGTATAATGATTGGTATTTACGGTGTGGTTGTGTAGTGAGCAAGTATGTTAACTAAACGTCGCATAAACTTATTCAATTGTACATTAATTGAATTTTAGGTTACCAGAACAATCCAGTCAACGACGGGTGAGTACCAATTGTGAGACATTTCGTCCGACCTTTGAACAATTATTGTTAGTTTTCGTTCTCAGAATGTATTGCAACTATATTGTTTTTTAAATTTGGCACGAGAGTTTAAACTGGACATTTACTTACTCATACCTTATTTGGACTGATCGAAAAGCAAAGATGGCCGAAGTTATTTGTTGGATCTTTCTCAAATGCACGGACATAGATTATAATATTCGGAATGATCGGAAAACTAAGATAGCCGACAGGTAGCCTTCTTGAATTTTCAGAATTCAATTTGTTAGCCTATTTTTCGGAACTACAGGAGTGATCTTTGTCAAATTTCACGTGCATGTTTCAAAAGGTTCCCACTTATACATAGTATTTTTTGGACGGGTTTGGCAATTAACAATCCCACAAGACAGTCACCTTGAATGCTTGAATTTTCTCACACTATCTTCCAAAGAAGTACATGTCAAATCTTAAACTTTTTTCATTTATTGATTCTTAATGGTCCAACGATATGCATATTTGTCTTTATGGCTGAAAAAATGGACCTCAAAGGATATACGTTTGACATGATTAAATAGGTCAAACTGTATTCTTCACTTAGAAAAAAAAGCAATGTCATCATCTGCAGTATGAAGCATTGATCAAAGCTGTCACAAGGTGCATTTACATGACTCAATACAACAGGTAAAAAGGATTAAAGAAGAGAAAAGATCAATCTTGCATATAACCTATACAGATAGTCATTACAGTTCTATATTTATATAATTTCGTGTGAGTAGAAATAAGAGTACATGTATTTCTATTAGTAGACAGTATGAGTCATTGGGAAGGCGATTTACTGAAAACGTCTACGACGAATGCCAAAGCAGAACGTCCGGTAAGTGGTTTTGTAAATTTGTTAAATCGATGATAATCATATACTTCCATTTTATAGATTACGTTAACAAATTATTACAAAACTTAACAATGATTATTTTTGTAACAATCGTCTATGTCATAGATTTAAAATGTAATTGACATTACCGTCACTCTATATAATGCTCATATAAGGAACTAACTTATAGATAGATAATTATGTTCGCATATACAAATTCAATCCACCAAAACTGCATTCAACCGACATCTTGGATCATATAAGAATAAGACAAGATAAACGGGAGTTATTGTCACTTATCAAAACACATCAATACAAAGTCTGCCAAACTCAAAACACAATCGATATCAAACTTGCATATTCATGTTAATATTAGAGATTAGTTTAAAAAAATATCATGCGTTGTGTCATTACGTGAATCAAAAATAACAAATGATCTATTAAATAAACCCAAATCAATAGCTTCTTCAAATTATTATTTTATAAATAAATGATAATTACATCGCTGGCTAATGTTTCAAGTTGGTGAAGGCTCACAAAATATTTTCATATCAATAATCATATACCAACCAGGAATAACTGCGTCAAAGTAACGACGTTAGAGCAATAATACCTACATGCTACCAGTAGGTTACCAGTTGCCAATGAAGTATTGCCAATCAGAAAAGTATATGACATTTGTTTAAACAGTGTTTTACTCCTCTGGCATGGTCACTTTGGCTTCTAATTGACATATTCGAATAAACCTTTATCGGACTTATTCTAACAAAACTTAATGCAATCATAGTTCTAAACATGTATCATTGTATCGGTTTTATTTTGATACTTTAGGATAAAAAGAAATCTGACATGGCCACCGCGGTCTTACGTCATATGGAACATTTGCACTTCTTTTTTCAGTTCAAGCATTACCATGAACACGTGGACGACAGTGTTTTGCTGATCCTCTCTTTCTAACGATGAAGTTGTATAAGGATATTGTCGATTAATATGTATCCCTTCGATTTTTTATATCTTTGTCATTACTTTTAATGTGTTTGATACCGTTTTTTTCTAGTTTTTTTGTTTAGTCAATGGTAACGTTTTTTTTCAAATACGAAAACAAAAAAATGAATTGTGGAAGATAACTATTTCTATTTTTTATTTCTTATAATATTACAAAATACCGCGACGGTGGAGTTCACGTCAGTTGAGGAATGATGAAGGGGGGTAACTTTTGTTATTTTAAGAAGTAAGTGTTTGGTTGATTTTCCATCGACCTATTGATTCATTTATTTCGTATTTTTACTGATTATCTTAAGGGTCTTTGGGGCAGACAATGTACAGTAACCACCTCCAGCCCACAGTTTAACTTTATGTTAAACCTTAAACAGTGACATAATCACCCTTTATATTCTCAGGGAACAAAGGGATATACGTCAACACAACCAATGCAGGGAGTGCTGCTAATTCCGGAGAATGTAAAACAGCCTTCGGTTGATAAAGGCGCATTCAACAAGTAAAACTTAGTGAAGAATTAAAAGGAAAATAGGACACCATTGAGTTCATCAAATATAGATAAGAGATATGCAAATAAACACATAACTACCGATGGTTATGTTTGAAACAACCTCGGTGTTTATGTTCACATTCTGGTGGAGCGGGTAACCATGAGAGTGTGTCGTTTTATTATTAAATTGTTGAAGGATGGAACATGATGTGTACTAAAATTACATGTTTTATCATAGGCTGGAACTGATGTGATTTCGACGACGCTTTTAAATGCTATTAATATTGGTGTTGAAAATAAACTTTTGTTGAATTATCATTCGGTAACACGGTAAAAGCATCACATCCTCCCGAGAAATAATGTTAACAGTCATCGGTATTGTTACTCCTTAGTCATGCTATGCATTGCATATACGTTTGCAGAAGGAGGACTTATACTCACATGAATGAAATCCGTTATGTGTATGTAATAATAATTGATATTACACATCCCGGCTACTTTATACATGACTATGACGTTTTCCTCTCCTTATTTATGTTGCATTTCATTTATTAATGTTTTTGGGATGCTGATGTGATAGAAAAGTAAATGTATCATGCATATGCTAGCCCAATTATTTTTTTATCTTAAATATGTTGCGATAGGTATCATGTTTAAAAGTTGTGTCATATGAACATTATTCAATTAACATACAAGTATCACTACACATTATAAATACCATATCCTTTCCAAGATTAGGTGATTGATGTGTGTCTTACTCCAGGTGGCTGGCTATTCTTGTACGTGATGTGTATATGTCTAGTCTGAGTAAGCATGCTAGGGAATTTTATATCTTATATATTGTCATGTTAAATCTTTGTACATTGTATCCAGCACTCGTCTCTGTATCATTTAACATTTGCTTGATTTATTTTTTTCTATAATATGTTTCATCCTATGTTATCAGTTGCTGATTTTTATTTTTCAAAGATCAGAAATAGATGCGACAGGATTATGATACATGGCACTTGTATTCGATACTGTATGCAATTAATAAGTATCTTATTATATACAATTGTATAACAAACAACTCTAGGTCGACTCCTGGTCGTTCTGCCTCTTTACAATTCTACTCAGAATGAGATAAATAGCCTCCTGGTTTGGTCGATCACATACTTCCAAGTATCACTTATAGCCAATTTGAGTTAAAAAAAAAAAAAAAAAAAAAAAACTTATGCACTGGATAATTCCTGTTACTGAGGCGTAAACCTCTACTTGAATTAGCTATTACTTTTTCCTGTTCAGCCATGGTTTAGTAAAGGACATCTCCTAAACCTTCTCAAGAGGCATCTGTATTCACGATAATTGGTTTAATGAAGTCGACATAGGACAAACCAGGCGGAATAGCTAGTAGAACAATAATTGTGTCAAAAGCTCATTGCTGGCTTTCACCTCCATAAGAAGGGAATTGCATTCCCTTTTGGTACATTGGCAGCCTTGCGAATACAATGAGCTTCAAACAAAAATCATATAAGGATTTTAAGAATTTTGCATTGTATTTTCTGAAACTTCTGTAGTACCTTGTTAAAACCTAGGAATGACAACAGAGTCTTGATGATGGCAGACATTGACTATGTTTTAATGACCTCTAAGTTGTCTGTATCTGTTTGAATTCTCTCCTCCGATACAATGTACCCGAGATAGCACACCGATATAATATGCACATTTTTTTATTTAGACATCACGTGGTGGGGTATCATTTAAACTAGCTAAAGATATTTTTTCAAAGAGTCGCTTGTCATCATGGAGAATTTTATAGTTGTGATATAATCTTGATTGCATATATAGGGATGTTAAATCTCATTGCATTACACAAATGTTTATTATGATTTTTTATTTCAAGTAATTTTATAGCGTCCTATACGGCTTCTTTTTATGTATTTAATGTTAGCACTGCTTACTGGTGGCCAGGCTAGTCTTCAGATTCCTGTCCGCGTTCCATCATATGTATGTTTACATGACTGATGTCCATCTGTAGCATATTTTAAGAACCTTACGGATAATATCGACCTTAACATACCACATTACACAAACAAACATGTCTATATAACGCCGTGTTGAAATGTAGTCTCATCACAACATGTCTGACTGCACACAAAACTCCTCATACTGCCGTGGTGACCTTGTCCTGATGCATGCAATGATCCAAATATGTGGTTTGCAAAAGACGTAAACTTTACCGGCATACCAGACAGCTGTATAGGTAATACAATATGAGTAGAGCATACACACGCCTCCTTCGTAGGATGAATGTGCTTTAACTCAAAGTCAACAAGCATATCAAATTTTCTCTTTCTCAATATCTAACAAAATAGCAGGTTTGTTTACTATTGGTGTGCATATCCACTATAAAACAAAATTAAATGAAGTACGCCCACTGTTCGAACATAATTATTGTCGAATTTACTTGAATTACTTGTTTATCCAAAAAAACGCACAGACATGGTACAATGCTGCTGGTGTCCAACCGACTGGCATGTGTTGTTGTTTATGTTCTTAAGTTACAGTTATGTTCATAGTGTTGGTGTCATACATGTAATCGCAACAAAATGAATATTTTCACTGTTTCACAACTTCAATATAACCATCAACTATTGTCATCGTATGTGCCAGTACCACTGTTTCCTCAAACAACCCATGTACTGGTTAAACTGTTCTAAGCACCATTACAAGTATTGCTACTGTCACCTTATGTAGTAGTATAATAATTGTCACCCTATGTACTGGTATCACTGTTGTCACCATATGTACTAGTACTACAGTTGATACCGTATATTACAGTATTACTGTTGTTACCATCAGTTACTGTAGTCATCCTAAGATGTAGCATTCCTGATGTCACCCTATGTTTTGGTTTGACTTTTGTCACTCCATGTACTAGCATTACATGTGTCACCCTATGCACCAGTATAACCGTTGTCACCCTTTGAACTAGCATTACTGTTGTCACCCTATGTGTCATTATAACTGTTGTCACCCTTTGAACTAGTTTTACTGTTGCCGCCCTATGTACTAATATTACTGTTGTCATCATATGTAATAATATTATTGTTGTCACCCTATGCACCAGCATAACTGTTTTCACCCTATGTACCATTATTCCTGGTGTCACCATTTGTACTAGTATTACTGTTGTTACCCTACGTACTAGTATTACTGGTGTCACCATATGCGCTAGTATTATTGTTGGTGTCATACATGTAATCGCAACAAAATTAATATTTTTACTGTTTCTCAACTGAAATATAACCATTCTCTATTGTCATCATATGTGCCAGAACCACTGTTTCCTTGCAACCCCAGTTTGCAAACAGCCCGTGTACTGGTTTAACTGTTCTAAGCACCCTTAAAACCACATGTACTAGTATTACTGCTGTCTCCATATGTAGCAGTATTAATTTTGTCTCCATATGCACTACTTACTTTTGTCACAAAATGTACCAATATAACTGTTGTCACTCTTTATACTGGTATAACTGTTAAAACCATATGTACTAGTTATACTCTTGCCACCCTATTCAATCGTATAACTGTTCTCATTGTATGTAATAGCATTACTGTTAATGACCCATGTACACATTTTACTGTTGTCACTTCATGTACTAGTATACATGTTGTCAGCCTATGTTCTTGTGTAACAAGTGTCGCCCTATGTACTAGTATTACTGTTGTCACTCTATGCAATAGTATTACTGCTGTTACCCGATGTACTAATATTACTATTGTTACCCTATGTACTATTATTACTATTGTTACCCTATGTACTAATATTACTGGTGTCACCGTATGTACCACTAATACTGTTGTCACCCTTAATGCTAGTTTAACGTTTGTCAACCTGTGTACTATTGTTACTGATGTCGCAGTTTATAAAAGTATAACTGGCGTCCCCTTATGTCCTAGTATTACTCGTGTCACCCTATATACTAGTTTTTTTGTCACCGTATATGTATGTACCATTGCTGCTGTCATCCTATGTACTAGTATTACAGTTGTCACTCTATGCACAGTATTAGCATAACTGTTGGCACCCTGTACGAGTATAACTGTTGTCATCATACGCGCTTGTATCGATAATGTTACGCTATGTTCTAGTATTACTGGTGTCACCCTTTGTTCTAGTATTATTGATGTAACCATATTTACAGTACTAGCATAATTGTTGTCACCCTGTGTAATAGAAATAATGTTGTCATCATATGCGCTAGTAGTGATATTGTCACCCTATGTACTAGTAGTACTGATGTTGTCACCCTATGTACTAGTATTACTGCTGTTATCACCCTATGTGCTAGTGATACTGCTGTTGTCACCCTATGTACTAATATTACTGTTGTTGTCACCCTGTGTACCAGTACTACTGTTGTCAACATAGGGGCTAGTATTGCCGTTGTCACTCTATGTACTAGTATTACTGCTGCTGTTACCATATGTACTAGTATTACTGCTGCTGTCTCCCTATGTACTAGTATTACTGCCATTGTCTCCCTATGTACTAGTATTACTGCCGTTGTCACCCTATAGTAGTATTACTGTTGTTGTCACCATATGTTCTAGTATTACTGATGTTGTCAGTACTAGTATACATGTTGTCAGCCTATGTTCTTGTGTAACAAGTGTCGCCCTATGTACTAGTATTACTGCCATTGTCACCCTATGTAATAGTATTACTGTTGTGGTCACCCTATGTACTAGTATTCCTGTTGTTGTCACCCTATGTACCAGTACTACTGTTGTCAACATAGGGGCTAGTATTGCCGTTGTCACCCTATGTACGAGTATTACTGCTGTTGTCACCATATGTACTAGTATTACTGATGCTGTCACCCTATGTACTAGTACTACTGTTGTCAACATAGGGGCTAGTATTGCCGTTGTCACCCTATGTACTAGTATTCCTGTTGTTGTCACCCTATGTACCAGTACTACTGTTGACAACATATGGGCTAGTATTGCCGTTGTCACTCTATGTACTAGTATTACTGCTGCTGTCACCGTATGTCCTAGTATTACTGTTGTTGTCACCCTATGTACCAGTACTACTATTGTCAACATATGGGCTAGTATTGCCGTTGTCACCCTATGTACTAGAATTACTGCTGTTGTCACCCTACGTACTAGTATTACTGCTGCTGTCACCATATGTACTAGTTTTACTGTTGTTGTCACCCTATGCACTAGTATTTCTGCCGTTGTCATCCTATGTTCTAGTATTACTGCCGTTGTCCCCCTATAGTAGTATTACTGTTGTTGTCACCATATGTACTAGTATTACTGCTGTTATCCCCCTATGTACTAGTGATACTCCTGTTGTCACCCTATGTACTAGTATTACTGCTGCTGTCACCCTATGTACTAGTATTACTGCTGTTGTCACACTATGTACTAGTATTACTGTTGTTGTCACCCTATGCACTAGTATTACTGATGTTGTCACCCTATGTACTAATATTACTGTTGTTGTCACCCTATGCACTAGTATTACTGCTGTTGTCACCCTATGTACTAGTATTACTGCCGTTGTCACCCTATGTACTTGTATTACTGCTGTTGTCACCCTATGTACTAGTATTACTGCTGTTGTCACGCTATGTATTAGTGTTACTGCTGCTGTCACCCTATATACTAGTATTACTGATGTTGTCACCCTATGTACTAGTATTACTGCTGTTATCACCCTATGTACTAGTGATACTGCTGTTGTCACCCTATGTACTAGTATTACTGCCATTGTCACCCTATGTACTAGTATTACTGTTTTTGTCACCCTATGTACTAGTATT